ATTTCCCATTAAAGAAGTCCACGAACAGAACGAGTCCCCATTCGTACTCCACATTGTTCAGCTTATCAAAAAATTGGCCTCCATAATGTACTTCCACAGTGAAATATTGAGTATTACCACCTGCATGCAATATTGTACACGTAGGGACACAGAATTCGGGCCAAAGTACAATATGCACACTGACGGAGACCATACTCACATTCACACAATTGGGGGTTTCCATAATGAAATTGTGTGACTTCACATTGGAATAAGACGATTCCTCATAAAATTCAAGGAATGAACACATATCGTAGTTGGGTCGCTCATCGCCAGGGTTTCTCAAATACGGAAGAAACATGGTGCTCTTCGAAGGTCTGCGTACCAAAATATAGTATCAGACTTCCACAAACACTCTCAATCATGCCAAAAATCAAAATACAAAATGGAAAACAAAAATACCCAACAAAAATTTTTCTTACCTCGCTCGCTAAGAAAACCCTCAATGCGTTTTCTCCGTTCCATACCAACGAGATGAGATGCGAACATATGAGAGGGAGAAGGAAGAATGGTTGTAGAAGTTGAAGAAAAGGTCAATTTTTTTTAAGAAGATAACCGTAAGAGATTCTTCACGCGGGAGGGGAGACGATGGGGTTAAATGGGGTAGGACGATATTACACTTGTTGATTTATAAGAAAACGGCGTTTTTTTAATTAATTGACAGAGAAACTGACGGGAGGTGGGCGGAAGGACGTTCGTCGCAAAGAAATGTTGAAATGAGGGCAAAAATGCCAAGCAATGAAAGGTAAAGACATTTTCCACAATGAGGTCGATAGGTAGGGACGTTTTGTGCNATTTCCCATTAAAGAAGTCCACGAATAGAACGAGTCCCCATTCGTACTCCATATTGTTCAGCTTATCAAAAAATTGGCCTCCATAATGTACTTCCACAGTGAAATATTGAGTATTACCACCTGCATGCAATATTGTACACGTTAGGGGGACATAATTCGGGCCAAAGTGCAATATGCATACTGACGGAGACCATACTCACATTCACACAATTGGGGGTTTCCACAATGAAATTGTGTGACTTTACAGTGGAATAAGACGATTCCTCATAAAATTCAAGGAATGAACACATCGTAGTTGGGTCGCTCATCGCCAGGGTTTCTCAAATACGAAAGAAACATGGTGCTCTTCGAAGGTCTGCGTACCAAAATGTAGTATCAGACCTCCACAAACACTCTCAATCATGCCAAAAATCAAAATACAAAATGGAAAACAAAAATACCCAACAATAATTTTTCTTACCTCGCTCGCTAAGAAAACCCTTAATGTGTTTTCTCCGCTCCGTACCTACGAGATGAGATGCGAACATATGAGAGGGAGAAGGAAGAATGTCTGTAGAAGTTGAAGAAAAGGTCAATTTTTTTAAAGAAGATAACCGTAAGAGATTCTTCACGCGGGAGGGGAGACGATGGGGTTAAATGGGATAGGACGATATTACACTTGTTGATTTATAAGAAAACGGCATTTTTTTAATTAATTGACGGAGAAACTGACGGGATGTGGGCGGAAGGACGTTCATCGCAAAGAAAGGTTGAAATGAAGGCAAAAATGCCAAGAAATAAAAGGTAAGGACGTTTTTCACAATGAGGTCGATATGTAGGGACGTTTTGTGCCAATTACCATTCTAAAAACCTCGGACAAAATGACTTGCTTTGCATCTAGACGCTTTATTATTATTATTATTATTATTATTTCAATTCTTAAACGGTTGAATTTTATTTTATTTTTCCTCTCTTTTTGTCTTGCCTAGGCAAGCTTTATTAGCTTTTTTTTCCCCCTTTTTTAAAAGTTTTTTATTTGACTTTAACTTTATTTTTAAAAAAATTTATTTGACTTTAGTTTTAAATTTTTAAAAGATTTTATATGTA